AATAATAACACGGGATATAGTGATATTAAATTTGGCCACACTGTCTTTCATTCAACGACGACGATTCAAATAAAAACTCTCCTAGAAATAAAATGAAAAACGACATAAAAAGATGTGTACTGACTCTCCCCAATAAATGAAATTGGATAACAATGTACAATTACCGATTTCATTTTATTTACCATAAATTTATCAATAAACACACACACACATTGCAACATGATACTCCCAGCAGCGAAATAAATCTACGTTGTTGTTGCTTGACAATTTGACGAAATGAGAGCCGGTTTCAAGGCAACTCGTTGGAACAAGATCGTTGGATTTACGACATCGATCAGGATGAAAAGGGAGTTGGCCGACGTGCGATGATTCAATACTGATAATCGGCTGGCCTTCGAGTCGATCGATAGCCACGGTCGATTTTCGTAGCACATACCACACATGTACTGTACTATAGTGGCAGATCTGATTTTTCTGGCCTCTGCCTTTATGCCACACTACAAAAGCACCGAGAAACACAAGCAAGATCGGTTGTTAATGTTATCTCCGTTAGCACACCCCGGTCGGTCGATGGAAGAAATACGTCCTCGGAATCACACGTCGACCGGTTCACGCTTCGGTCTGAAATATATCGCACAGTATATATACGGAGCGGATATAGGTGAATCGATTATTGGACCTGGTGTTTCGGCAGTGCTGTTTATTTTTGGCTAACGGGCCAAAGGGGCAATTACATTGCCTTTGTAGTACAGTCCTTCGCCGCGCCATTTACCAGCCAGGGATGATCTCGTTCAGGTGATACACAGTATCCTAAAAAAATCCTGAAGCAGAATTCGAAGAGCCTGAGAATCTGCAAGCTCGCGACGATTCGCGAACTTCGAGAACTTGGAGAACTCGAGGAATCAGAAATCCAAAGAATGATGAAATTAAAGGCATCGAGAATCATTTCGATGCACCAAAATTCCAAATCCCGAGAATCTTCATTTATGAGATTTGAATATTACGCGCGAAAGTATACTCGCACGAGATCACCTCTTGTATCCGGGTGTTAACGATAAAATTCCGTGCGATGAGTTTTATGTACGTATGTACGCGAAAATGGAAATGAAGTGAAGAGAGAGAGGTACATCTTATGGGAACATCACGTTGGCAAAACGGCCGTCAGAAACAAGAGACCGGTTTAATAAAGCAAATTAATAATGATATACAGTTTCGTCTCTTGATACCTTTTATTTCACTAAGTGCCCGGTGAAATGGCTTTCCGCCTTTTCGCTTGCCACGTACGAAACTGGTATTTTTTTTCTCTCCCCTCTTACGTTATTAATTCAGTCTTACGGGTATCTAGCTACTTTTCGAAGTTACGAATGAAAGTGAACACGGTTTCTCAGCGAAGGTACAACAATGGCGGCAAGTTTAATGGCTATTTGATCTCGCTTCGGCCGACCTCGAAGTTATTCAGAGCAATATGATTGATCGTCAAAAGGCCGTTCTTCTGCTGACTGGCAGATTGACGGTGCAATTCTGAAGGCGATCACTCGTGTCAGATTCTTCCAGAGGTGTTCCGTTTCACCGAACAATCGCCGCTTTAAAAACACTTGCGAATCCCGACGCCACAACAATATTGTTGCAAATGCTGAGAACGTCCCGTGTTAGAAAGGGGGAAAGAAGAAAAAAATGTCAATCGGACGTAAATTAAATAAAAAGTTTCTATTTGTTACTATCAATTTCAATACGTCCGGTCTTTTATTCTGAATGTGCTCTTGTATGTACATCTAACCTAAACCTAACCTAAATCTGATCTCATTTCGAATTATTAATCTCTGGGAATGTTATAGCGAAGTATCACGGTATATAATTTAGCTATTTGTAGAGGATGACGGCTCTTTTCATGGTGACTCGGTAGTTCTTTAAAGTGATCGTCATGTTAATCCTTTTATATTCGGTGGTGTATACAATGTTGTGCTTCAAGAACTTAGTAACTAATTAAATGATAAATGTAGAGGAAGTGCAACTTATTTGGAACAACAGATTGCTTACAACGAATAAAATTATTAGATTAGAACCTATGTACAAATCTATGTAATATTATAGAGAAAGCTGATAAATTGTTATATCTCAAAAAGTGTTTGTAACTTTGAAGAATGACATCAAATAACGATTTTGTTACCCAATTTGGAGCAGTGGTATCTTTTATTTTATAATTAAAATCAAAGAAAAAAATTAGATAATAAGGTTATTTTCTCTTATGATAGTTACAAATAAATATTATTAATTAGATAGCTATTTCAAGCTCGTTTCTAGAAGAGGAACTTGAAATTATTGTAGATTTTATCGAATTTCAATTGTAAGTTTCTTTTTTTTATGTTTGGAACAGAAAAAATATTAAAAGGATAACAAAGGGACTTTCAGTTGCAAGTGATCCTGGTAAATGTTCTTTTTAACCGATGCAACGTTAACCCTAGAAATAAAAGCATCATTATTCTATAAATATTTCAAATTACGCTCATCCAAATTGGCAACATAACCTGAAATCTCGTGTCACATTTATCCTCGAAATTGACACTGTAACCGTAGAATTCACATGATGCAAATGAGTACATTAGATGATTCGCTCTGAATCATTCGTTTTAACATATTTTAACAATGATTGAATATTTGGAAATACAAAAGTTAATTGTCCATTGATAGAGTTGAAACATCATGGTTCGTTCACAAATGTCATTGATTGACATTATTTCTGGTGTTACAAATAACATCTTAGTATATATCTTAGTTCTTTTTTAGATACTTCAGTATTCCAAATTGGCTGCATTTCCTCTGCAAACTGATTGCACTTTATTGATTCTGAAAAATTGAATTGAATTTTATAGTATTATATCTTTTCCAAGAAATATATATATATATATAT